CTTGTTGATAACTGAGCTCCTGCTGCTGCAACAGGACAGCAAATTGGCCCCTGTCTGGTCTTCCTTGATAAATATTCATGTGCATAATGCTCCCAACACTGATCTCATTTACACTTCAGCCTTTTTGTTCTCCCAGAGCTGTAGAAAGGGTTCTTGCGTAAATGAGGAGATGCTGTATTGATGGTGGGGTTGGTTTTGTTTTGCTTGCCTTTGTTTAATAAAATGGTCTAAAAGGATGAAATCTGTTTGCTCCCGTATTCTTTGCCTGGTGCATGATCCCAATGCTCCACTGCTCGGCAGCTGGCCTGTGAGCAGAGCAAGGGGAGCAGCACTGGGCTCTTTGTGCGAGCTGCTAAGCTCCCTGGGCATGGCCTCACAAAGACGAGAGTTTAACAACTCCCTCTCTATTAACAAGTTCAATTTTCTGCCTCTGTCACTAACAACGTGCCCCTACAAGTCCATACCAAGGAGCAGTTTATTAGAGAAGCGGACTGAGGTAGGCAAACAGGCCGGTGCAATCTTTTTAAACATAGCTACCCTATGAGTGCTTAAGCTCTTAAGCCTGTCTGATTACCACATGCAGCATGGATAAAGCTGTATTTTATGACTACTTTGGAAGGAGCAGAGACTCCTTGCTATGTGAGAAGAGAGTTTGCAGAGCTATTTGCAAAAGCAGGTGCAGAAAGCTGCCTGCCTTTGTGCCACACCAAAGGCTGGCGGGTTTTGTGGCTGCCCGATGGGGCAGAGGCACTTGTGCATGGCTGCTTTCCTCTGCACCTGACCATTCCCACTGCCAAAGTAACATACATCCATTTTTTCATATCTTCTATAGGAATTTTAGATGTGCAAGTTTAGTAATAAACATACTTATTGTATGAAGATTAACTAATAAATGTTTTCACTGGTTAGAACAGGTAATTAAAAAAATATAACCTAACCTCCTGACCTATAGCTGCTGAGAAACCTTATTCCCAGGTACAGCACTTATGTTCCTTCACTCCCCTCCTTCTCAAATGACCTTAACACACCCAAGCCCTGCTTCACACCATGCTCCTCTGCCACCCTCTCACTCCATTGCTCATTGGCAGCCACCCATCCTTGATAGTGACCCACCACCCCTCTGCCCCTTGGGGTCAGCTCACCAAGGGATGGCAGCACATCAGGAGGAGAAGGGTAACCCCTGCAGCCTGGAGTTACAGAGTTCTTCCACAGTGCTGGTATCAGCAAAGGCTCGCGCTGCCACTATCGTTACCTGGTTCAGGGGAGGAGATGCTTTATGAGCACCACAGTCCCTGCTCTCCAGCCAGTCTGCTCTCCCTGAGGTCTGAGGCTTATTTATGGAGTCTATCACTTGTTGGAGATGGCTATCCCAACCCTATGTGTCCCCCCTGAGGTCTCCCCAGCTGCATAAGTCTCCCTTGGTGCCTTTTTGTCCTCTATAGCAAGAAGCATCTCACATGACCTCCCTCTGATGTCTCCTGCTAGCATGAGAAGAGGCACCCCACCAGACAGCTATGAAGGGAAGAGGATTCAGATCTCTATTTTGGGTCGGCTAATCTATCCCAGCACTCTCAGGCCGCTCTGTTGACTCAACGGTTGGTTTCTATCTGGTAAGATCAGGTCACATTCAAAGGGAACTAATGCCCCTCTTTTGCTGTAATCGTTTATTTTGCAAGAATATCTCCTACTTACTTCCTCAAAGCCTTTCTGATAACAGAAGAGATGAAAATGTAGGCAAAATCTATTTTCCATCTATCTATAAATGGAAATGGTGATAGTATCAGACAAACAGGTGATACCTAAATTGATCACTATGTAAATTCTCTGTGAACATCACGCTGTATTTTCCATGTTACAGGCAAGCCTTGTGGTTGCATTAGCCTTCCCGCTCTTTCTACGAAAGGAAGGCAACATCAGTGCTATTTGGGCTTTCCCCACTGTGATGGACAACTCCAGTTTTTGTTTTTGGCAGTAAAACCACCCTGATCTGGGTGGTTGCCAGCACTTTGCACACCAGCTACTCAGAAAGACACAAACATAGTCTCATTCCAGGGGATTTGGATTAGATGACCTCTAAAGGTCCCTTCCAACCCAAACCATTCTATGACTCTATTATTCCGTAGATCCACATGCAAAAATGCAGATGCTACTGTAAAAAAATGTATAGGTGCATACTGGGGTCACACACACATGAACTCACTAGGACCTACTGAGCTGCACTCTGGGGGCCAGCACCCGCTTTTGGTACAGCACATGGCACAGCAGCTCCTGGCCTGGAGCTGGGGCTGTGTGCGTGCAGCTATCGCTTTCCCAGCCTGCTGGTCAAGCCTGTGCTGCTAATTGTCCCGTTTGCCATCTTGCCAGGCTGTAGGCTTTGCTCCACCAGCAGTGCCCTGGCTCCCTGCAATGGCTTGCCACAACCATGCTGCACGGCTGTTTGTGCATCAAACTCCCAGGTACACAAATAAACACATTGTCTGTGTGTGTATATGCATAGACACAGTGTGTTTACTTACTATATCTATATATATCTCCATATATATCTATCTCCATGTATATATATATATAGATATAGTAAGTAAGCACACTGTTTACTAGATACAGATACATAGATACAGATATAGATGATGCTGAGTCATGTGAATGCTCGAGGCTTTTCAGGGAAGGCAGGGGAGCGGGTTGCTCAGGCACCAGCCCTCTCGCAGCTTGCAGGCTCTGTACATCAGAGACTGCAGAGGCTGCTGGAAGCCGGGCTATAGCAGGATGCTTTTGATCTGCTGACAAAAGCCTGGAGTATATGCAATATTCCTGCCACAGTAACCACGTCTGCTTCTGTACAGCACTACAACCCTCTAGTGGAAACTCAGCCCTATCATCACACTGGTTCTTCTGGCCACGGGATGAGCCCTTCCTTTGAGGTTTGAAATCTGATGGTGATGCAACGGCATCCACGTTTCTGAACAGATGCATTGTTGCTATTGAATGCTATTTTCTATTATTCTGGCATGTAGGATCCCCAGTCCTGAAGCAGGATCCCCATCCCACCCATCATCCAAGCGGGATAAGAAATTGGTGCACACCACCCACAAGGGTTTCCTGCAGTATTCCCCATTTCACAGAACTTGCAAAATCGGCCTATGCAGTATCATCAGCTCTGTCTGAGTCTCGTCTACACCAAGACAAGTTTCCAAACAAGTCTCTGTGGATCGGGAGAGCAGTTCTGCTGGTGTGGAGAAAAGACTGGCCCTTGGCAGCTTCTTCAGCTCTCACCTGCTCTGAGATTACTTTCTGCTAGCAGAGCAGCTGGTTCAAGATTCATAGAAACCTAAAAAACGCCCTGTTGGGGTGGGATGCTGCAAAGCATTGAGCACTGGCTCAAGTCAGTGCTGTGCCTTTTGCAGACCACAGTGGGAGCAGGATTAGGCCATGCAGGGAATGCTTGGAAATAGTCCACCCTCGATAAGTGAAAGGGAAGTACAGAATGAGAATAGTGATAAAATCATTTGCTGGGTGATTTTAAATTGATCTCATGTCTCAGACACAGTGAAAGCCCCTCAGTGAGCTGCAGAGCCCAGCAGTGCCTGCCCACCATCCTTGCAGATGACATGCTGACACCCAGGAGGGGAAAGGACCTTGGAGGCTGTGACATCCCTTCGGAGCACCTGGAGGACATGTACAAGCTTCACTGTCCATTTGGATAATGAAGACTGCTGTCCCCAGGGCCACTGGGGAGTGTGCAGGACACCTCAGCTGTGGCTCCTCTCAAGGCAGCTCGGTGCCTCAGGGGACAAGAAGTATCCTCTGCACCGCTAACTGGCTGCAGCAGAGAAAGAGCTGCTTTTAGCAGTGCTGCCATGAACATTAGGAAAACGTGTTTCATGGAGAGGAACAGTTGAGCCAGTGCCCAACTTCTGCCCCTCGGTGTACCTGCCCCAGTGGAGGGAGGCTGCGGGTGGGAGGGCATTAGCACTGCTCCATCCATCCTGCCTGCCAGAGCATCTCACCGCCTCCAGCCAGCGCACAGAGACATGAAAGCTGGTAAAAGTGAGATTCCTGCCCCAAAAGACAAACAGCCTTCGCAGCAAGCTGTTTTTCCCCTTTAGAGGAGAAATAAATAACTTTTCAATTTCAGCTACAAGGATCTTCACACTGTGAGATGATTTCATCAGACAGACGAGCTCCCAGGGCTTCATGCTAGCTGCCTACTGAGCTGCTCAGATGCCATCCGCTGGGTACTCCCTGCTCATCCCTGGGGGAAGGGGACCAGCCCCCAAAGAGCCAGCCATGATACGGGGCACAGAGATCAAATGGGTTGCATTTTTCACCTAAAAGAAATTAAGGCGTGATGGCGTTGCAGTGGAGTTAAACACGCGGTTACGGCAGTGCCATTTCTGCCACATGGGAACTGGCAGGGACTGCTTGTGTGCTGTGACCTCTTGCAAGGCCAGGAGATGCTTCAGGAGGCTTAGGAGAGGAGCTGCTGCCTGATGCGCTGCTGTTTGCTATTTGCCACCACACATACAAGCATATGGTTGATTTATTTTCCCCATGTTTTCCCAAGAGTGCCAGCGCTGCCTTCAACGCCAAACAATGTTTTCCGTGCTTTTGGCACAGCACTTCAGAGGGGGACAGTCTGACCTAGCAAGAGCCCCCTTGGGGGGGCTCTGTGATTAAGCAGAGCAGCACGATGTCTCC